TCGGCTCTTCCAACAGATCTTCATTTCTTCAAGTTGCCTCATTTCCTAAGAGATTAAATTCTAGAACTCCTGAGGCTAAATGAAAACAACATACAACTTCAGCTTCTGCTAAGTACATGGATTTTTTTGACTACTCAAATCTCAAACTAATTCTTAAGTCATTTAAAGCTAAAGCCAGTATGTATGACTTCAATTTATTGTCAGTTTTATAAATGAGTGTGAAAAACAATACAGTCATATATTTGGCATTAAATCGCATGAACCACCAAAAATGTGGGATGATATTGGATTTTCCAAAGTTGTCTAAGTAAGACTGGGTTTCTGAAACTTGCCAGATGCTTTCAGGTGAACACAGCATGTTGGCGAAAATGAGATGTAATGAATGTGTAAAAGACAGAAAATAGGTCAGCACTGTGCAAAAGTAAACTTGTCAGTGAGGTCAATGTGCACCTACAAGTTAATGTGAATATTAGAATTTCCTTACAATGAGGGATGCACAGGATAGACCCAGAACAGGCCCGTAGCATTTATTCACTTGTGAAAAGCGAGAGACATACTTGAATTTTTTTTTTGTATCCTTAATGAAAGGCACTGCTTTTTAATATGGAATATTCATATTTAACCACGGTTTTAATTGCTATAATACCATAGTAAATTAAATTCTGGTACATTTGCTTATTTTTTACCAACATGAAAAAAGGGCAATAATGATCATGCATCATAAAATTTCAGATATATCATGAAGTCCCTCATTAACTTTCTCCGTGTGTAGTGTTTCAGAGAATCTGACATCATGGATGAGCTCAGTAAAAAATTTTTGAAGAAAAAAAAATAACAGAAAGACCTTTCTTGGGGCTTCTCATGACATTTATTTAAATTTTAAAAAAATGTACATCATTTATTTGAATACATAAAATGCCAGTGCTTTGCAACAGATTTGTTACTGCATCTCTAAACTAAAAAAGGAGAAAAACAAAAACCAAAAAATACATTCAAAACGCTAGGCTGTTCTGCTTATGCACAGGCAGTGGCTCTGGAAAGCTACAGCCTGCACTGTGACTGTTCAGAGGCATTGGAGAACATCAGCCAGCTTTCAATGAGGAGTTGCACATAAAGCATTAAAGGATACAAAGAACAAGTTGGTGGGAAACAGGAGAGGAATGGGAAAGTAAGAAACGCGCTACATAATCCATGGGAGGGGGTGGTGGACTGAGGTGAAAGTAAGCATAAATACTGATGTTTGGGGAGACTAGATTTCTGCAGAAAGATGGAAGAGAACAAAGTAATGTTTGGCAAAGCTATATGTGATGTGTTGTGTCTTCCAATTTTCTATTTTACTTTCTAGGAGAAACAAACAAACAAAAAAGCATTGAGGTAGAAATGAATGCAGGTACACTAGAGCCCAGGTTTCAAAATGAGAAGCAAAATTGCACTGACAAGAGTGGAGTCAAAAAGGAGAGGGGACATCAAGGTTCTTTGAATGGTTGGTTTTATGTGTGTGTGTTTGTGTGTGTGTACGTTTTGGTTGCTATCCTCTGCATTCTATCAAACAGCACGGCAAGCCTATAAACTAGATTAGTGAATAGAATGACACCATTCCCAGCAGTTTAAGAGATATCTTGCAAACTACCACCACCACCCCCATCACTACCACCTGCAGTAAAGGCAGTCATAGCTTTTAGGTACTGTGACTTGTCCTTCAGGGTCCTAACCAGGTCTGTGGCTGACTGTTCCAGACACTAACACAAACTGAATAAGTAGCTTTCCATTAACCAGTGTACCTTTTCAGAACATTTTCACTTAGTTATCAAGGAGCAATGTACTAAGAACTCTTGCAGTTACTGACATAAAGAATTATTCTGCTCTGGTTAATTCCCCGTAATTAGTAAAAGAATTTTTTTAAAAAAATCCTTCCATTTCTACTTTAAATTGTAAATATTCAGTTGTATCACGTTTCAGTATTTTTTTCTGGATACATTCAAAGAAATTTTCCTTGCTATTTTCCAATTGTTGAGGTAAACATACATTTTAATATAAAGTAACATTGAAGCCTAACCTATTACTCTCAGCAGTACATAGTGCTTTCAACACATTCCTTTGAGGTACTGTACAAATCACAATCACTTTCCTGAGTTTTTGCAGACAAGAACATTAAAAGAAATGAACTGCAGAAATTAAGGTCCAGATTACCGTTACCCTGTTTTACCTGTTCTTAGCTTAATACCGCAGAACAGACAGGATTGAGGAATACTGTTGCTCTTAAAATGGCAAAAATCTGGTTTTCTGTCGTAACACAACCGTTCATCTCTTTAGTCCAATAATGTTTGAAGTTAAAGCTCTTTATATTAGCACATGCCACCAATGTAATTGTGAGGCAAACAAAAAATAAAGCACCACTCCAGGCACTTGACAGCAACTAAATCTCGAGAACAGCAGAATGGAATCAACACACGAGGTTCATGTCCTTCTGAAATCAACACACTTGCACCTTGCTCCTTGGTGAGTGTTGTCTAGCGTGAATCGAACTGAGCTTCCACATATGCTTTCTGTGATCTGGGGCTTTCCAATCAGAAGCTCTCATTTGATGTACTTTTCCTCCAAATCTGCCCTGACTCTGAAGATGCAACTTAATCATCGTTTCTCCCCAGTACCCTTTGCAATCGAAACACTACTGGAAAGGGGCTCTATTCCCTATGTAGCAGGTTGTATGTGTGTGCCAACATTCATCTGATTTTTAAGACGTTGTCACTGACTGCAACCAAACATTTTGTTCCATTCAACATACATATCAAGCTCTTTTTGAGATATGCTGGGCTGAATCTTGCAGAAAGCATTTTCAAAGTCTTGATATGTAACGGGCCTCAACTGGCTGGGCAGAATGGCTGAAAGGTCTGTGGCTGGCATGGCATGGAGGGGGCCCACCGCTGCTTCCTGACACAAATGAGCCACGTCTAGTCCAGAAAAGCCTTCTGTGCGCTGGACGAGCAGTGCAAACTCCTTGTCATTGAGACAGTAATTGTGCTGTGAGAGCAGTTGTACTATTATCTGGTGCCTCGCTGTGCTGTCAGGAAGTGGAATTAAAAGTCGTTTCATGAAGTACCTCCGAAGAGATTCATCTATTTCTTCTGGTTTACTGGTGGCACAAATTACTACGATTTGGTCCTCAGCCGAAGTTAGTACAGTGTCCAGCTGCATCAGAAATTCGGTTCTCATCCGACTGACTGGACTGTGTTCCTCACTCACTTGAGAGGAGAGAAGCATGTCAATGTCACTAACAAAAATCACTGAGGGCTGGCGACACCTGGCCACAAGAAATGAGGCATGGATAATTTTCTCTGCTTCTCCTAACCACTTGGCGACTAGTCCAGAACCGGCAATTTTGAAAAATGTGGCCCCCAGCTGACTAGCTATGCACCTGCCCAATAATGTTTTGCCTGTTCCCCGAGGTCCAAATAAAAGGATGCTCCGAGGTAAGGCCGTCAGTCCACTGAACGCATCTGACCTCAGCACTGGCCATAGGACTTCCTCTTTAATGACAGCCTTGACCAGGTCGAGACCAGCGATGTCATTCCAGTCCACTGGAGGTCCTTGGGTGATAATCTCATTGGTTACCAGGTCAATGAGGTGCGTGTCAGTATTCTTCAGTTGTTCGTCCACAGAGTGGTTGGATGAGGTAGCTGCACGGAGTCCAGGGCCTTGCATTGTGTGAGAGAGGAGCTGCCTGTGCTCCTCCCCGTGCTCACTCATTACTGGCGACGTGTACTTCCCAAAGGATTCACTGGATCTGGATCCCAGTGAATTTTTAGCAGTACTGTAGGAAGGAGGGGTCAGAGCCCTATTGGACTGGCTGCTGAATTTCCTTTGCTGTTCAGAGGACATTAGCTGCTTTGTTGGCTTAAATGCTAAGGATGATGTTTCAGCACTTCTGTCAAAGCCATTTCCCCGATTTGTGTTTGAAATGCTGTTGTCGGGCATCCTGTACATAGGACTCTGTGTAGATCTCTGTTGGCCATAGCTGTAATTTCCATAACTGGAGTCCATATCTCCTTGCCCTGCCATATAGAAAGCTTTCCTTTTGAGAGAACTTGCAGAACTGTTTGCCAGAGCCGAGGGTGCAATAGGTGTTAAGCCATGACCTTGATAGGTGTAGCCAGGAACAGTAGTGGGGGGCAGGGGAGTCGGAGCAGGAATTCCTGAAGGCAGGTACGCTGACGGAGGAGGGGGTGCACCTCCAGGGCTGTACCCAGACCCCACAGCAGTCTGAGGAGGATAGCTAGCGGAGGGATAGCTGTAACTGGAGAGGTTAGAAGTCCCATTGTAGCCCGGGACCAGGGCTGGTGGTGGAGGAGGTGGTGGTGGTGGCTGTAGGAGCCCAGAGCTATGCAAAGGTGATGGATGAGGTGAAGGAAGTGCAGGTGCTGGCTGGCTACTGTAAGTAGAATGCAAATAGGAGCCGTTGTATCCCGGGGCATATTCCTGAGTTGGGAGCCCTGCATGAAGACTGGGTACAGTGTGGCTTCCACAGGTACTACTTGAATAGCTAGGTTCAGTCAGGTTGCTGGCCACCCCCGGAGAGCTCCCTATACTTGCGGAGACATCTGCTGGAGGGAGGGCTGAACTGACTCCAGCTTTGCTGGCAGTGATGACATCCGGAACACAGTTCATGGGATAAACGGCTTCGGAATTCAGGGAAGGCTGCCAAGGTTCACTTTCATTTTTCCGACCATTCACTAGTCCCGATGGTGCATCTGAGTAGCTGCTGAGCACGGGTCGGTCCACAGGACCTTCCAGAATGCCGGAATACTTCTCTGCGTATTTCTTGAGGAGGTTGGATGCCGTCAGGGCAGATATGTCATCATTTGCCCAGGCATACTGATAGGTGCGCTGCAGGTGGCCCCTGTAGGCTTCCACTTTGTGGGCAGGAGACCGCGTGGTAGAGGTGATATCAAAGTGCTGTTCTGGCCACTGGGCATGCTCTGGCGTCCACTGCATCTTCAAGCCTACAGATTTGGGGGGAAGGGGAATAACAGTTAATTTACTCACTTATTCATCAGAATCTTAAGCTTTCCTCCTAACTTTTTTGTTACACCTTATCTTCCATCAGTGGCATCCACAGTGTAAGGGATCATGGTAGTGCACGGTATGTATCATGGCCACGATAATACAGACTCTTCAAAATGGACTAAATTTCACCCTGTACAGCATAAAAAGTAAACTGAAGGTGAAAGAAAACTCGGGAGAAGTCCCATTTTCTTCCCATTTTTGAGCAATACGCAAATCTATCTCTGTCAAGCACACCAAGTTAGTTACTATCTGTGCCCAAACACATATATATGTACACACACATTCCTGTCAGATTAGAATTCAATCATGGTTTCTCACAACAAAATATGCAGGGATTTTAAATATCTGGCATGTGATGGTATTAATATGTACACTATAAAGCTATTCTGTCTCTTCACATCACAGTTTCTGTTTTATATTTTAACAATATAAAAATGAGACACAGCTGACAGATCACATCTAGGATACCTCTCTTATTTGGTACTGAACACCTAGTTAGCACAGTATAATGCTCCCTGCGCAGAACAATATGACACAGACATAGCAGGTCATTCCATAATCCAACTCTCATCTAAAGTGGTCCACGACAGTCTCAAATCTGCTTCGTGGAGTGCAGCAAAGCAATCTCCCAGGCAGCGCTCCATCGCTTTCATCGTACAAAGCCTACAACTCGGTATGAATTACAACTGGCTCCTTTCTGCCTCTCAGTTCTGTTGTTGGGTTTCTGAAAAAAAAAAAACAAAAAAAAACAAAAAAACAAAAAACAAGCATCACTTGTCTGTCGGTCTTTGCATTCTCCCCCTTCTCTTATAAATTCTCTTTCCCTTTATGGCCTCCAAGGTACTAAGAGGGAAAGGAGAACGTGTACACACACACACACACACACACACACACACTCTCACACACACAACCCCCACACCACACAAAGGAGGAAAGGGAGGTAGAAGAGAAGACTGGAGGGAGAATCCAGATTCTCTACATTTCTGTCGGAAGCAGTGTGTGGCAGAAACTGCAACTAGATGATAAGATCATATGGGTAATTTTACCATCTACTAGATTACTAAATGAGCAAACTGTAAAACAAGTATTTTCTCATTTAAGAGAACTTCCTAAACAGCTGGAATCAAGAGAATCATTTGAATGTAAAACGTCAACAAGACCTTTGAAATTACCTTACTTCACAGATTAGGGAAGCAGGGCCCAAAGAGATCCCCAGTGTACCGCCCAAGTCTCACATGCAGTTAGTTACAGACGAGGACAGGAACTTGTTCTATATCCCAGTGTTGGCTCATCCCATTCTAATCTTTGCTGGGTCTGAGCACTTCCTATTCTGGTACGGCTATATTAAGCAGGCCTCCTTAATCTCTTTTGTATTACTCAAAGTGAATTTTGCAAAAGGTCTGGTGCCCTCTGGCAGAGATTCCTTGATAAGGAGGAGGCCTGGTCTAAATGAAGCATCTGTGGCATCAGCTCCCTTCTGAATTACCAGTCTATTTTGACAGCTTCTGTTCTCCTCCCCCAACCCCTGTAGCTCTTCATCGCCTGACTCTGGCTTCTGACACGGCCAGCTTTGACTCACTGAGCTAAACTGAACACAGCACACAGTTTGGTAACAGAATGGCATGTTGATTCCCTTCCGACTCCCTCTTCCTTGTTTGCAAAACCACTGCACCAGACACTGGAAGTTAATTAGCAGGATGATGCTGTGCTAATTGTGTTAATTTACAAGGTTTTAGTCAAAGAGAATCATGCCAGGGCTGGCACTGCTGTCATGCTTCCGACTTAATGATTAAGAAATACTGAAAACAAGGTGGGAAGGATTGCAGTAATTACACAATAAATGAATAAAGCAACAGGATTCATTTGCAAATATATTTTACTACAGTTGTACTCATTTGCATTTGGATTTTTAAAAAGGATCCATGTAGATATTCATTTGCAAATCACCAACTCAGTTAAATTAAGTCTGAACGCTGCACAGTATAACTTAATCAACCTTTATATACATGTATATTTAGTAAAAATACTAAAGACATTATTTCTTTTTATGTTCAACAGATTCCTTTTTTTCTTCACTTTCCCTCAGCTACCCCAAATCTTTATGTTTGTTTCAAAACTTTACTTAAAAACCTTCTCGTCAAGTCGAAAAATAGTACTGTAAACCCTCTTGAAGTGCACCTTGCAGCATTTCATTCAGAGAATGGCTGGTGTGAGTTCCAGGAAGAACGAAAGTGATATTCTCAATGGTTTCTGCCTTCTCAATCATTACTCTTTAAGAAGGAGGAAAACACACCGCAAAGTGGGTGAGATGGCCGAAACACACTTAGAGGGGAAGAGCTGCAATTCTAACGAAGCAGCATTTCAGGAATCATACTTTCATTAAATTCAACTAGAAATTATTAAGAGCAAATCACCAGGAACCAATCGCAAGTAATCAGTATCTAAATTCTTCTAGTGCCATGGGATTTACTTCAAGCCTTATAAAAAGGAGAGAATATTAATGCGACTGTAATGTAGAACTATCTAAATGACCTATAAATTCATTAGTCCTGTAAATTATTTCTAGGGAATTTTATTAGGGTTTTCTTCTTTAAAGTATTATCAAAATATTGAATAGAGAAAGAACACACATATATTATGATTAGACATTTTATTAGGTTGATAGAGAAAAAATGTGAATACATTTCTTGAAGCAAGGGTTCAGAAAGTAATTTAGAAATCCAAAACAATGCAATGTACCAGCACACACACACACACACACACACACACACACGCTCTCTCTCTCTAAAAAAAAAACATGGCTTCCTTTCATTTAGTTTAGCTAAATATTGTTTGCATTAGTTAATACACATGGGTAACAAATATGATAGAAAAAATATCCTTTAACAAAAAACAGGATTGCTTTAAATAAAGCATGGTGGTGCATGCCTGTAATCCTAACACTCTGGGAGGCTGAAGCAGGAGGATCACAAGTTCAAGGATAGCCTGAGAAATTTAGCAACTTAGCTAGATCTTGTCTCAAAAGATAAAAGAAAGGGCTGGTGATATTGCTTAGGGTGAAGGTTCTGGGTTCAATTCCCAGGACAAGGAGAGAAAGAAAGTGGGGGAAAATGTACACTACTTTAGATTGACGGAATTTTTATAAACTGGGAGGTGAGAACCCTCTAAATGTATTGTCTTCAACAATATTTCCTTGTAATTTAGTCATTTACAAACAAAATTCAAAAATGATTTTTATTAAGTTTTATCACTGTAAAAGACAGGAGTTTGCACTTTAAATAAGATAGAGTGTCCATTTTCACTGGGTAGTTCTGCATTTTATCTCTAGCAAAATGGATTAAATTTTATAAGATTTCTATTTCCTCTGAAATTAAGTAAGTGTCCTATTTATCAAAATTATTTGGCACAATTACTGGACACACCGTTGCCTTTTGATTCTCTGGCTGTTTTTGGATGTGCTTACCAAGACAACTGAAAATTTATTTAGTGATTCATACTAAGCAACGATAACCTTAGCAGGGTTACACAAGGCACGACTGAGAGTTCTGATTAAGCTTAAGGAACCACAATTGTTCACATCCCCTGAAATATGAGAGTTTATCCAGCACTTCAGAATCACTAATGTTATTTGAAAGCACAAATTAATAGTTAACCACAAACTAGGTTTTTTTTTTTTGGTACCGGGGATTGATTTCGGGTCCATGAGCTTGCAAGGCAGGTGGCGGAACCATTGAGCTAAATCCCCGGCTACCACAAATAGTTTTTAATATTAGTAGGATCCAAAGAAATTTGTTTTCAGGAGATTCTCCTGGACTTGGGGATATAGTCTATTTATCATTGTCTGGAATTTTCAGGACTAATTAGAAAGAACACCAATCATATTTTTGTTCTTCCATTTATTGGTGGTGATATTTTTTTATGAGAAATGAAAGAAAAACAGAGCCAAATGTTCTTTGAATAAAAACATCATGCCCCATTTGATCACACTGTTGCTATTGATGAGAAAGCAGCAGCATATTCCTTTCATTCAAGTTGGCACCCCAAAGTGAGATGGGCTTTATTTTTTGATGAGAAGTTTTGCTATGGTGCTATGGACTCGAATTCATAGGCTTAAGCGGTTTCCAATCTCAGCTCCTGAGTTCAGGCACTCAAAACTACAGGCATGCACCATCATGCCTGGCTTATGAGATACGGTTTAAAAAAGAGCTTTTACATAATTTGTCCTAAGAATATAAGGAGAAAACTCTCAAAAATGACAACTTTAACATCATTGGAAATTTCATTCCAGAATAGTAACTCCTACTATTCTTTAGAAAGCATAAAATTAAAAATTCAGAACACAAGACAAAGACAGGTAGTTCTTAAAAACAATTGGAGAATTGTTCCAAAACAAAAATTTTATTTTGAAAAGATGAGAAAGTTCTTAACACAGTACTGTGTTTTAAAAATAGGTAATTTAATAGAAAATTTCTTTTAAGATAATTTATAAGTGTTGCATAGAATGGTAGATGCTACCGTAAAACACCTGAGTATGCTGTTCTTATTTTATTGTCATAGAATGCATTTATATAAATAATCAATTTGAACAAATCTGTATCTCCTGTGTGTCTGGGGGGGGGTTCAATAACATTTGCCATTCTTATCATTACTGGCCAATTTATAACAGGTTTAATTACTAAATACCGCCTTGTTGCTTTACTGTTTTCATTTTGTTCTGTGATTTTGAAATTAAACTGTAATAGCCTTTAATATTCTTCCAAATTACACAGAAACAGTTAAAGGAAAAAAGAAAGGGTGTAAAAACAACTTGCAAAATGAAAGTCAATTCGAAATAAAATGGTAGGTCTTCTACCATCTATTTTTAGCACATATTCCTGGAAATATTCATCTGAAACACTCACTACTCCACCCTGCCCTTAATACATATATGCTATTC